ACTCTATGGTTAACTCTGTACCGATGTGCTGTGTAACCTTAAAGGAGTTACTTTCTTGGGGTCTCGGTTTATCCCTCTACAGCAGGGGACAGTTCTCTTAAGTACTGCCCTTATTCGTAATTTCTCAATAAATCTGAAATTGCCAATGTGCTTTTTCACACTTCTTAAAAATTATAAGCCGCCAGAGGGACAGGTCGTAAAGTGTTTTCCTGTTAAAGATAAGGCACTTTGTGGCCCAGAATGGCTCGCTGAAAGGCAGAGATCTCTAACTCCTGGCTCAATATTCTTTCCAAGGCACATCCATCACTACCTTGACTTGCGGTCTGCTTGTCCCAGATAACTCAAGGTGACTCACTCAGAGTTGCAGCTGTTACACAGGAAGAAATGAACAAATTTGGAAACCAGTCTCACTTTGTAGGTTAAGAGCCCTTTTATCATGGTAACAGGAGTCAGGGGAGGTGACTTTTATCCAATTACTTCTCCTGAGCTATTTTAGTGGTGTGAAGAGCAGTTATTCTCAGACTTTAGTGCCTATGAGAATCCAATGAGAAACGGCTCCCCATGATGATAACTGGGTCTAACCACAGACTGAGACTGCAGGTCAGTTGTTGGTCTAAAATCCTAAAGATTGTCTTAAAGATGACACTTTTGATATAAATACTATCCTCAAACCTGGTAAGAAGCACAACAACAGAAGTAGTTTGATGGTAGAGTAGGAAGATTATTACCTTCCATGCAGAAGAGGAAGGAACCACCACGTGTACCTCACACTCATGAATAGAAAATGCAAGTCCTGCTCAGCCACTACCCTCTGTCAGTGGTGCCTAGGGGGGGGTGCACTAAGCTGATCTAGTTTCAATACATGACAAGGGCAAAGGCTGATTAGGAAAAATGGTCTAGTAATCTACTTTAAAAAAACAGGCTTTGGGAAAAAGAATAAACGTCGTTGTTGTTATTAAGTGCCATCGATTCGTGGATGACTCATAGCGAACCTATGAACAAAAGGCCTGAGCACTGTTCATAAGAGTTTCCGGAGGCAAGCCATTTCAGAAGTGGATGTCACTCCTGCTTCCAAGCTTGTTTTAATCCGGGAGCTCCAACATTGTTCACCATGGGTAACCATGATCACATTTGGCACATCAGTGTCACAGTGTTTAGCATCACAGCAACCACGAGTTACCTCTGTACAGCAATGCACAGACCAGAATGTCTGACAGAAAAACAGTAGCTTTTGGAAATCCTATCTAATCACTATAGAACACTGCCCATTTTGCAACTACTCATGAGAGTGGGACACAAGTGGGCAGTAGTACTTCGTTTTCTTCTGCATGGTACTTTCATAAATCAGGACTGGCTGTGTAACAGCAGCTAACAATGACAATGACAAAACCAGCTTCATTCCCCACCATTGGCCCGTATATCACAGTACTGCTGAGAATTCTGAAACTACTGGTAGACAGAGGAAGTTCTGGTGGCGCAGTCTGTAGAGAGCTGCACTATTTGCCTAAAGGTGGCAGCCTCTCTGGTGGTTCAAATTCACCAGTGGCTCCACCACAGGGAGAGATGGCCTCCCTAAAACCCACTTACAAGTCAGTTCCAACTTGACAGCATTGAGGGTTTCTGCTTAGCAAGTAAGAAGCTATATTCTTAGTTACGATTTAGTCCAAATGATTTAATGGATTCATACTATCGTACGAATTCATTTGACTTTTATCCTACCCAGCAGGTCATCAAATTTAAACAGAAAGAACAGAGATACCATTTGAAAACAAAAACAAAGGCACTTAGAAAATTCTCCATTGACTGTGGACATGGATAGTAGATACTTTATATGAGGAGTTCAAAATTATGAAAACTCTCTTAAAGAACCATTTTATGTTACTGAACAACTGTCAGACTGAAAAATCCTACATTATATATGATAGGCCCTCAGGAGTTTGGGAAGATAGGCCCTCAGGAGTTTGGGAAGATAGTTGGAATTTTTAAAAGAGTCAAAGGTCTGGGAGCTACCAAGGTTTTTTGCTTCAAATTCTTGGCTACAAACATTGTTGTTATTATTGTCCATTGCCATGGAGTCGAAACTGACTCATCCCTGACCCTGTAGGGGGTTTGCGGAAGCTGTAAATTGCATGGGAAGAGATTGCCCATCTTCCCCCTGAGAAGCAGCTGATGGATTTGAACCACTTACCTTTAAGTTGGCAGCACAACTCCCTCTCCACTGACCACAAATACTGCTGTTGAGTATGATTCATTAGAGACCTTAGGAACAATCACTTTGAACACTGTCGTATCCCGTGCCGTCCTCACAATCTCAGACACACACATAGCCTACTGCTGTGGTCAACATGCAAATCCACCTTGTTGAGCACCTTCCCCTCCTTTGCCTTCCCTCAAACATGAAGCCCTTCTCCAGGGTATAACCTCTTTTAGCAACATCCTCAAAGTATGCGGGATGAAGCTTCACCATTTTTGCCTTCACAGAGCCCTCTGCACCTTCTCTCAAACATAGCTGTTCTTTGGGCAGTCCATGAGATCTTTATAATTTGGGTTTACTCTGAGTAAAATAATCACTGTTGTGGCTTTGAACCCACAAGCATTAGGACAGGAAAATTAGTTATGGTCTACAGTGGATCGGCTGGAAAAGACTTGTATAAACTGAATAGGTGTAGTAGACTAGGTTGAACAGGTAGTTGTTTCCAATTTCTCATGCATACTCCAGGCTGTAATTATAAAATCCCATGTTTGCCATGTGACTCGGCACTGCCTTCCACCAGAGGAAACACGCTCTGTTTTCCAAGCACGTTGATGTTGGATTTGGCCATGTGATTTCACTGGTCAGCAGACTGTGGGTGAGAGAGAGTAAACAGAATGATGGCCCCAGAATGATGATGACTCATGGAGTAAACCCCAATCATCTAAAGGCTGTAGCCCAAACTGCCCCAGTGGAGCCTATCAATTGCCACTGAGTACAGTTAAACCATAGCCATTCTGAAGATACATGAGCAGTTACTACACGCCTGTTGTTATAAATCATTTAGATTTTTTTAGGTCATGAAGCATTATTGCAGCCAGGGTTGACTGATATAATAGGAAAAGAAAAACTGAAGAGAGAAAGTTCACTCAAGTATATAGCTTTGATGTACAAAAATACATTTATTTTCAACAATTTCAAAACCACTGTCTTTTTTTTTACAGTAGAAATATTCAAATGGAACAGTAAAACCAAGAACAGTATATGTACATATACTGTATATATAGATATGACTCATGCATTTGTATTCCAGTGTTTAGTACAAGTATTGCAATTGTCTGCCCCATTTAACCCTTGAAACAAAAAAAGCAAGATCTTTAGAAATGCTTCTAACATTTGGCTCTGCTGTCGCCAGCCAGATTCCCCTGCATACATTCTTTCTGCATCTCACAGAGAAGAATGCAAACAGTGTCCCACAAAAATTAACAGGTACAAAATGTGGCCTTTCCTTCCATCTATATACAGTATAGAATTAAAAAAAAAATCAAAACAACAAACAAGTGTGCTCAGGGTGTACCTGAAAAGAAAAAGAATGTTCACAGCATGACTTAGAAAATAATTGACACAGATAAATGTATGAAGGGGCTGTGGTCCTGGAAAAGAGAATACCAGCTTTGCAAACCACTGGCCCCAGATACCATAAGGGAACTGAAGGCAGACATTTGACTTTAAGGAAGTTGTGTACATATGATAAGCAAATAGCACGGCTTTGCTAAAATCTTCAGAGACTAAGATCAATAAAGGCTAGAGCCCTATTTGGCCTGTAGGATTTCCCTGGACTCCTGTGTCCACAAACACTCTCTCTTATCCTGTGGTCTCTCTAACTCCACCTATGCCACAAGGCACTCACTGGGCTTAACCGAGTACCCGGGGGACTTTCCTAAGCTAAAGATGGCTAGAGAAACTCATCACAAGCTTATATTATAGATGTCTATGGAACCCAAGTGGGTAGCAGAATCATCAACCATGAATTGACCCATTGTCTTAGTTCTTTACAGGAAACTCACTCTCAGGCTCACAAAAGATTTTCAATGTCGCATTTGCAAGGGGAACCTGGCTTCCCTACCTGGGACACTGCGGTCTCGAGTGGACGTCTTCTTGCAATTTCTTCCAAGTCGTTGCTGGAACCAGAGGACACTCGTGTTCTATGATGTCACTAGAGTCTTTCCTTTATCCATTGCTCCAACAAGCCCTCCCCCTAACCTCCCTGTATATACATAAGCAGAAACCAGCTATGACATGGACACAAAGATGCAAGAGTTAAGTGTGACAGACAGCTGGACAGCATCCAGAACCCAACACACGCAAGCAGGCCCAGGGGTTGGTCAGCTCGGAGGGGGAGTGCGTAAGCCAACACACGCGTCTTTCTTTTTTCTGTTTTCTTTTTTACTAAACATTAAGTTATTTCTTAGGAAATAAAAAGCTATTTACATCACAATTATGTACAATAAGCCATCTGTAGCCTCACTATCGACATGCACAAGGCCGGGCCTCTTTCCTACAGGTGTGCATGCGCTCTGCAGCTACACCCACACTCCACTAACCTACCTCCTGTGATACAACTGGCAAACGGTCTGTGTTGGACGGATGTGTGGGAATGGGGTGGGGAGGTTGATGATTTCTTTGGGAGGTGGGGGCGGGTGGAGATGAGAGGTTAACAGAAAAGCTAATCCAACTTTAAAAATAAAGGGAAAAGGCCCTGCTACGACCGGAAGATTAAAGTAAGGAAGATGTGGGAAGATGTGCCCTTTGCCCTTGAAACAAATAAGAGTCATTTTTCAGGGTCTCTCCATTTAATCAACTGAGAATCTCTTTTTTTTTCTCTCTCTCTCAAAGCTAAGCATCTGCCTTCTATTTATGAAGGGGTCCTTGGTAAATAAAAGGTAAAAAAGACATGTTCACTCTTTTCCATAATAATAGGAGTCATCAAAAAGAAAAAGTCAGAAAGGCTGTGGCTGGTTGACTGACGTCACACACTAGTGCAGTTCGGGATCTCCTTTGTGCTTTCGCTGTTCGCAATGGTGGCGATGCCTCCTGCAGGGGAAGACAGACACACAGAGAGAGAAGAGGGTAAGCTCCACAACGCCAGGGACCCACGTCTACGCCGCTGACTGCGAACACAAAGCCACTAAGAACAGTGGAGGGACTGGTATTATTAAGGAAGGCACAGACATGGTTTCCCTCATAGACTCTCCCTGGTTGCTTCTTGTGTCTGTGTGTAGTATCTACCGTGCCTCACACAAACTTGCAAAGTCATGTCACTGACAGCAACAGACAGCTTATCCGCTATTGAAAACGATAGTTATACTCAATGTTATTGAACACTTGCTTTGTGCGAGGCTCTGTACTAAAGACACAGGATCATTTAATCATCACAATGATCCTATTATTTCTAGTTCAAAGATACAAAATATGACACACAGAGGTCAGAGAGAGAACATACAGTAGAGGAAGGAAATAGAACCAAAGCTAGCAAACTCTCTAAAAACCAGACTTTTTGTGATTTTTGTTAAGGATACGTATATTTTTGCTTTATATGGAGGGGAAAAAATTCTAACAGTAATGAATAGCTGGCTTTATCACTCTACTCTCGTCACTATATCCAGCCTTGATTAATTTTTTTAAATATTTTCAATTGATTTTCATATAGTAACACCTTTACAGTATGTTTCATTTATAAACCTTTTCCCCCCTACTAGGTTATTTATAAAATTCTAATACAAGTTTGAACATATTCTTGTGGGAAGAATTATCTAATAATTTGTGTGGCCAGAGATGATGGATAGATGTAAACTATGGGTAAGCCGATGGTTGGCTGACCCAATGTGGAGGACACAGGAGGGCACAGGAGTTTGGCAAGAGCTGATATGGGACAGGAGCACATACCTATGACCCGAGTGTCCAGCTCTTTGTCAAGAAGTTCCTCGGGTTCGGTGAAGTCACTGAGGGTGATTTTAGGGGCGTTTTCACTTTGGCTCACAGACCCAATCATCTCCTGCTCTTTGTCGTGTTGCACTTGAGCATAGATATTAATCCAGGGAATTTTCCTATATAGGTGGAAGTAAAATCAGATTCAATCACAAGACATGTTGCATTTGGGCAATTGGAAATCCTGGATGATAAACAAGTAGTAGCTATTGAGAAGAAAGGCCACAGTCATGGAAAGGGTCAGCCCGAGACACTACGATCAGGAGGCTACTGAACATATACGATATTCAGATGTCCAGGAAAGATGTAAAGCATAGAATTCTCTGAGAGAGGTGTGTTCTCCAGCAGCAAAAGACACAACAACTACAACAACTAAACAAGTAAGTGTCATCAGAAGAGAAATGTTTGGTTATGCACTTGTTAAGTAACAGCAAGTCTATTTTCTACTTCATACTGGCCCTGCATGCCATTGTGGGGCTGTCCTGCTAGGTTTTGTAGAATGCACTTTTTTTTTTCATTTGTTTTATTTTTTTTAATTTGTTATTAATTTCAGTAAAAATTTACAGAGACTTTAGATTTCCACTCATTCATTGTTGCACTTTTCTCCCCTCCCAACCCTTCCCCCTAGTATAATACCCTCTTGTAAAAGTAAAACAAAAATTCTTTCATTGTTTTACAATCCCTCCTCCCAGGTCCACTCCACTATGTGGCCTTCGTTCTGGACTCCTGTCATGACAAAAATACCAATTCATATATCCCTTTTAAACTGTTTTCTCCCTCATCTCTTTCAATGCAGTATATATTATTGAACCCATCTTTCTCAGTCGCCCCCCGGCCCCAATGTCAGGCCTGTTTTACAACAGTGGCACCATGCAGTATTTGTCCTTTTGTGACTCAGCATAATGTCCTCCAGGGTCACCCATTTTGAATAATATTGCATGAGTTCTTTGTTTTTCAAGCCAGCATAGTATTCCATAGTGTGAATATACCACAGCCTCTCTATCCATTCATTTGTTGATCGGCAGTTGTTTTCCAACTCCTTGCTATTGTGAACAAAGCAGCAATAAACATGGGTGTGTATATATCTGTTTGGATGCCAGTTATGGTCTCTTTGGGGTATATTCCCAGTAGTGCAATTGCTGGGTCAAATGGTATCTCTATTTGCAACTTTTTGAGAAAGCGCCAT